ATGAGAAGTAACTAATAAGCAGTTAAGCACATAGTTAATTGACAATATTTTATCCTGAGGTTATGTGCGAAGCTTCCAGAGGATTTTTGTTATTTTATTGGTTGAACTGAGATGTTGATTTTTTCCATTATTTGACATAAAATGTAATGCAATACGTTCTGACAGTATATTCCTTATAACCTTACTTTTTAAGCATAGTACTGAAATGGGGCTTTGTTAAGAAACCTAATCTGGTTCTGGAGAAGGATACTTTTGAGTAATAATTAGTCCATGATGCTTTGATGCTGTATAGCTGTAACATTATCGTATACGGTCAATTTGGCAGTGTGCGTCTGCACATCAATTATGTTTCAAAAGGAGAAATGCCTCTACAAAAAATATAAGTACTTACTTTGTGTAGGCTTTTAGATGCAGCATATGCAGGGATAAACATTTTTTATTAGGGGTTTCAGTTATCAGTTTACTACATGTGCTCTGTATTCTGCCTACTTGTAACCTGTAAAATGTTAATGTACTGGATTGGGTTGGGTTGGTCTGGGCTTCAGAGGTTCGCTATACCATGCCCAGTCACTTTTGACGTACTTGGTATTCAGTAAGATTTGGCTGAATCTATACAGAGCAACTACAATAACAGGTCATGTTAGATTGATCTTTTCTTTGCTTTAGATCTAACTACAAGCAATATGTAGAAATAATCTGTTGCCCGACTGAAAATCACTATAAGTAAACAATGGACGTAAATAGATCTTAGTAGGGAAATATGTTCCGATCAAAAGCTATACCTAATTACATATCATTGGATGCTAGGTTAGTTGTGGTTGGATATGTTCTTATGCAATAATCCACCATATACCTTACAAATCTTCCAAATACCTATAACAGTTCTGCAGATGGAAACTAATGAAGGCACTAGTGTCTTATTAGGCATGGCTGAATGTTTACTACTTGTCTTTCCATTAATGGTCTGTACTCGATTCACAAGTTGACACTGGACAGTCATGAATTAATGAAGGATCCTCTACAGCTGTAATAGTTCTTGGTTAGTCTTGGTTTAGAAGGTATATCGATTTACTCACAGGATTGTTTTTGCTCATATTGGCATTCACTGTGCAGTTGGTGGAATCTCCTCATAGCTCAAGGTTCTTATCAAAGGTCACCTTGCTTCATATATTGGCTGATATGATAAGGTAGTCCTGAAATAAATTTCTACTGGCTACTTTTTGATGTGTCCATTGTTCGACATTGTAAAATTTTCTTGAAGAACTTTAAAATTTTTATGTTTCATGTAATTCAAATCCATTTTAGTGATGCTGGAATAGATTCGGTTTTACGATCAAGAGCATGTCTGATAAGTGGAAGGCTTCTTTCTTTAGCTGATGCTCACGAGGAGCTTGACGAGTCAAGTAAGCTATGCTTTTAAATTTCAATTGTTCATCTTTGCTCAAGGTGCTGTTAAGACTTTTATTTAACCTTTAGTAGTTGTTATCCTTTATCCCTTGAGATATAATGTGTGAAATAAGTAGTGGACTGGTACACGGTAATGAACTATAACGGTAGGGGAAACATAACCAGTTAATGTATAATTATTTTGTGTTGTGGAGATGCAGTAAGTGAGATTATATGTATTTACTATTTAGCACGTAATATCAAACAACTGAAGGTATTACAATAACATCTTGAGTTTATAATCAAATTTAGTGTAATGGTTTTTCACTTTTACAGAGGTCAATTTCTAGGATGATGGATATAATTTTTAAATTCCAAGAATATGGATTTGCATATTCAAGTCTAAAATTTTCTATATCCTGTATCATAACTGGTAGGTGCCTCCTATTGATTTCCCCCCCTTTTGTTATCCAAAAGTCTCATGGGTAATAATTCATATTTAAATTCTAATCATGTTGGTAATATTGATATTTGACTAATTCAAAGAATGGTGTATCTTCTTTTGGAACTTCAGCAGTTACCTCTCTTCTTTTGGCTATTGATGGAAGACTGAAGTTGCTAGAAGGTCAAGATTCAGATGAATATGAGAGTGCAATTGAAGCTTTAGGCCAAATTGGGGCATGTGAGTATGATATCTTATATAACTTACGGATCTCTTTTCCCAATTTAATCAACACCCGTCTATGTTCAGAACATACAACTCAATAAGCATTTACTGGTAAGCTTCTTAGCTCCCAGCTAAATGCACAGTAAGTCTATTAAAAAAGATGTAGTCCTATGTCCACGCTCAGATGATTTAAATTTTAAAATATAGAGGAACTTCTCTCTTATGTTGTTAATGTGGTGATGAGTGCTTGATGATTGGACAGACAAATACATACATATGTTTGTTTATTTATTTGTACATTATTATTATTATTATTTCTGTTTCTATTTGAATAGAGAAGAAACTTAAGTGCCTTTCTAATTAAGAGAGAAAAGATGAAAAAAAGCTGGAAAGTCCAATTTGGGTTTGCTGTGGAATATTGTTAACGGAAAACCCGAGATGACACCATGTTGCCGTTAATGTCGCTCAGTCTATTGGGAAAATTCCAAAATGTCACTCATCTCGATATATTGGGAAATCTTGATGTATTGTTAATAATTTACCGAAAACCAATGAACAACATGAAAAACGTTTATCGTTGCATTTTGGCTGTCATGTTAGACATGTTGGATGATGTTTACAGGTAAACACCTATAGGTTAGAAAAAACCTCGTTATCTATTTGACCATCTGAACCAGGAGTAGATCTATGAGCAAGATTTTGATGAGGAGAGGAGAGTCAAGTTTATGGTTTCTTGTGAGGGAGGGGAGAAAACTCAGAAGAATCACATCAATTTCACGTGAGCTGAATTATTAACAAGAAGGAGTTGGCCAATTCGGTTGGTTGTGCTTGAAATTATCCAATCTAAATAAATCAATTTAAAACGAAACTTCAAGGGCTGAGGATACGCGCTGATTCAATCAAATCGTTCAGTTTAGACTGAGTAATGCTCACCCTGTTGTAGCATAGGACATTTTCCTCTGATACCTACATGCGTGCATGTGCATATGCAGGGGCGGATTTATGCGTCTCCTAAGGGTGCAGTTGAATCCTTAGAATCTTTACATGTAAGCAGTAGTTCTTTTTGCAGCCCCCCAAGAGAGATTAAAATTGCACCCCCAGATTACCGAATATATCTAAAGAAGTAAGAATCTAGTAGAGCCCCTTTAAATTTCCAATAAGAAAGTCACACATGCCCTAATATTAAAGCCCAAACTTACCGTACTTGTGATCGTGGGAACGAGAGGGGCCCACGCACGTGGGCATCTGTTTTTTGGCCGCCTGCTTTTGGCTGCCTGCTTTCCGCTTCCGTGCGCGCGCAAGCCTGCCCTCTGTGCCGCGCCGCTCGTCTGCCCACGCCAGCCCACAACATCACATCAGAGCTCGTGCTCGAGCTCTCATTTTTCTCCCGCGCGCGCCACTTCTTCTCCCGCCTGATTTTTTCGGTTCAGCCCCCTTTCCTCGCCTATAAATAGAGAGGTAGGGTGTAGAGGAAATAGTGTGGGGAAAATTGTGGGAAAAAAATTAAGTGGGTTTTGTGTGGAGTTTCTTTTGAGAGAAAAGAAAGAGTGAGTGAGAGAGAATTTGTAAGAATTTGGTATTCTCCTCATAGTGAAACCCCCCTCCCGTGGACGTAGGCTAGTTAGCCGAACCACGTAAATCTCGTGTTTGTATTTGTTTTATCTGTGAGTTGTCATAGCTTGTAGGTTCCCTCAATATTCGGTCTTAGAGCTGATGAGAGGAAGAGTGCTTTGATGAAATATATCACTTTCAATTCTTGTTTCCTTTGAGAAATAAGAATTTCATTATCTATTCTCGTTTCCTTTGAGAAACAAGAATATAGAGGCCGACTTGTGCTTTTGTGACAACAAAAGCCAGAGCTCTCTCTCAGGTGATATCGCTTCCGCGACGGTGGGCGTGACTCAGCCCTAACAATTGGTATCAGAGCCCTTATTCAGACTGGAGGTGGTAAAATTTCTGATCTGAGGTGGTGGTTGAATATTGTGTGGTTCTTGAAGAACTTTAAAATTTTTATGTTTCATGTAATTCAAATCCATTTTAGTGATGCTGGAATAGATTCGGTTTTACGATCAAGAGCATGTCTGATAAGTGGAAGGCTTCTTTCTTTAGCTGATGCTCACGAGGAGCTTGACGAGTCAAGTAAGCTATGCTTTTAAATTTCAATTGTTCATCTTTGCTCAAGGTGCTGTTAAGACTTTTATTTAACCTTTAGTAGTTGTTATCCTTTATCCCTTGAGATATAATGTGTGAAATAAGTAGTGGACTGGTACACGGTAATGAACTATAACGGTAGGGGAAACATAACCAGTTAATGTATAATTATTTTGTGTTGTGGAGATGCAGTAAGTGAGATTATATGTATTTACTATTTAGCACGTAATATCAAACAACTGAAGGTATTACAATAACATCTTGAGTTTATAATCAAATTTAGTGTAATGGTTTTTCACTTTTACAGAGGTCAATTTCTAGGATGATGGATATAATTTTTAAATTCCAAGAATATGGATTTGCATATTCAAGTCTAAAATTTTCTATATCCTGTATCATAACTGGTAGGTGCCTCCTATTGATTTCCCCCCCTTTTGTTATCCAAAAGTCTCATGGGTAATAATTCATATTTAAATTCTAATCATGTTGGTAATATTGATATTTGACTAATTCAAAGAATGGTGTATCTTCTTTTGGAACTTCAGCAGTTACCTCTCTTCTTTTGGCTATTGATGGAAGACTGAAGTTGCTAGAAGGTCAAGATTCAGATGAATATGAGAGTGCAATTGAAGCTTTAGGCCAAATTGGGGCATGTGAGTATGATATCTTATATAACTTACGGATCTCTTTTCCCAATTTAATCAACACCCGTCTATGTTCAGAACATACAACTCAATAAGCATTTACTGGTAAGCTTCTTAGCTCCCAGCTAAATGCACAGTAAGTCTATTAAAAAAGATGTAGTCCTATGTCCACGCTCAGATGATTTAAATTTTAAAATATAGAGGAACTTCTCTCTTATGTTGTTAATGTGGTGATGAGTGCTTGATGATTGGACAGACAAATACATACATATGTTTGTTTATTTATTTGTACATTATTATTATTATTATTTCTGTTTCTATTTGAATAGAGAAGAAACTTAAGTGCCTTTCTAATTAAGAGAGAAAAGATGAAAAAAAGCTGGAAAGTCCAATTTGGGTTTGCTGTGGAATATTGTTAACGGAAAACCCGAGATGACACCATGTTGCCGTTAATGTCGCTCAGTCTATTGGGAAAATTCCAAAATGTCACTCATCTCGATATATTGGGAAATCTTGATGTATTGTTAATAATTTACCGAAAACCAATGAACAACATGAAAAACGTTTATCGTTGCATTTTGGCTGTCATGTTAGACATGTTGGATGATGTTTACAGGTAAACACCTATAGGTTAGAAAAAACCTCGTTATCTATTTGACCATCTGAACCAGGAGTAGATCTATGAGCAAGATTTTGATGAGGAGAGGAGAGTCAAGTTTATGGTTTCTTGTGAGGGAGGGGAGAAAACTCAGAAGAATCACATCAATTTCACGTGAGCTGAATTATTAACAAGAAGGAGTTGGCCAATTCGGTTGGTTGTGCTTGAAATTATCCAATCTAAATAAATCAATTTAAAACGAAACTTCAAGGGCTGAGGATACGCGCTGATTCAATCAAATCGTTCAGTTTAGACTGAGTAATGCTCACCCTGTTGTAGCATAGGACATTTTCCTCTGATACCTACATGCGTGCATGTGCATATGCAGGGGCGGATTTATGCGTCTCCTAAGGGTGCAGTTGAATCCTTAGAATCTTTACATGTAAGCAGTAGTTCTTTTTGCAGCCCCCCAAGAGAGATTAAAATTGCACCCCCAGATTACCGAATATATCTAAAGAAGTAAGAATCTAGTAGAGCCCCTTTAAATTTCCAATAAGAAAGTCACACATGCCCTAATATTAAAGCCCAAACTTACCGTACTTGTGATCGTGGGAACGAGAGGGGCCCACGCACGTGGGCATCTGTTTTTTGGCCGCCTGCTTTTGGCTGCCTGCTTTCCGCTTCCGTGCGCGCGCAAGCCTGCCCTCTGTGCCGCGCCGCTCGTCTGCCCACGCCAGCCCACAACATCACATCAGAGCTCGTGCTCGAGCTCTCATTTTTCTCCCGCGCGCGCCACTTCTTCTCCCGCCTGATTTTTTCGGTTCAGCCCCCTTTCCTCGCCTATAAATAGAGAGGTAGGGTGTAGAGGAAATAGTGTGGGGAAAATTGTGGGAAAAAAATTAAGTGGGTTTTGTGTGGAGTTTCTTTTGAGAGAAAAGAAAGAGTGAGTGAGAGAGAATTTGTAAGAATTTGGTATTCTCCTCATAGTGAAACCCCCCTCCCGTGGACGTAGGCTAGTTAGCCGAACCACGTAAATCTCGTTCCTGTGGACGTAGGTAAGTTTGCCGAACCACGTAAATCTCGTGTATTTATTGTTTTCTGGTTGTTTGTCATAGATTGTAGGTTCCCTCAATATTCGGTCTTAGAGCTGATGAGAGGAAGAGTGTATATTTCACTTTGATGAAATATATCACTTTCGATTCTTATTTCCTTTGAGAAATAAGAATTTCACTATCTATTCTCGTTTCCTTTGAGAAACAAGAATATAGAGGCCGACTTGTGCTTTTGTGACAACAAAAGCCAGAGCTCTCTCTCAGGTGATATCGCTTCCGCGACGGTGGGCGTGACTCAGCCCTAACAATTGGTATCAGAGCCCTTATTCAGACTGGAGGTGGTAAAATTTCTGATCTGAGGTGGTGGTTGAATATTGTGTGGTAAAACACAAAGAAATTGTTAAAAATTCCTGAGAGAAGCGGATTGACATAATACAAGCGGAAAATGACTTCTACAAGTAAAACAAGTAAAGTTGGAAAATACGAGATTGAAAAATTCAATGGGAAAAATGATTTTTCCTATTGGAGGATGCAGATGAAAAATTCGCTGATTTCGCAAAAGTTGCACAA